TCAACCTAACTCCCTGGGGGTTCATGCTAAATTGCTGTCAGCCGAGAGCGCACGGAAGTTATTTACCCCCTTTTAGTAGACGGGACAGACATTTAAGCCGGCTAAGCTGACAGTAATCCAGTGAGACTCCCCACATGGATAGATTGATCTAAAATCTGTGGGGAATGCAGTCATAGACTTATAAGTTAGCTAACTGTAAGATTTAGGATGAGGGGGCTACCCCCCTCCCCACTTCCCACCCTACTGTGGCTTACCTTGGCATCTTCTACAACACACATGATCTGCAGCTTTTTGATACCATAGCCCACTGGGACTTGTTTGGCTGGAAAATAATTTGAAATTCACCATTCAGTTATTTGTAGTGTATGATGAATTTTTAATAGTTTTTTTTAAACTTGAAACCTTTGAAAATGACCCTTATTGCTGTTTGTTTTTTTATGATGGACAAATCCACTCCTGGTAGTAATATATCCACTGCAAATAAATCAATTAATTTAAAAATTAACAGAAAACTCTTTCTGTATATTGGCAGCTCTGGTATAATGTGCTTTAACTTGACCGACCCAGACTTTTGTTAACCTAGCAAGCAGACTCAGCACTATGTATTCAGGCAATAAGTAAAGCCATGTCCTCTACTCACAAGCTCCCCACACTAGACCATCAGTCTCAATGCCACGGACTAGCTTCTCCATTTCACCAAGATCTGTTTCATCGTCCCAGGGTTTAATGTCCAAAACGATTGAACTCTTGGCAATCGGGCCTGGCTCTGAAAGATTGATAAATAAATAAATAAATAAATAAATAAATAAATAAATAAATATGAGATAAAGCTCAAATAAATCTGTGTGTGTGTGTGTGTGTGTGTGTGTGTGTATTAGCAGCACATATAATCTGCTGACATTCTTGATCATAACAAAACAATATTCCTGTCCGTGCTACTTAGGCAGGGCATAATTAATTTCTTAGGCAGGGCATAATTGATTTCTTACTTGCAGCCTTCTTAGCAGCATATTCAGCTAATCTTTTCTCTTTCAATTCAGCAGCAGCAGCGTCATCTTCCTCATCAGACCCAAACAGGTCAATATCATCGTCATCATCATCATCGTCATCAGCAGCTGAGGCACCGCCAGCTGGGCCATAGGCACTGACATCCTTCTTTTGTCCAGGAAAACTGAAATATATATTTGATAAATAAATTAGGCTTTTAAAGATCAAACTATGTTAACAGTAGTAAAACAGACTAAATACGACTTAATTCTAAAGTTGTCAGTTTGTAGTCCTGAACAGTCTGACAAATTTATACAAGTATGTTGCCCTATCACACTGACGTGGCTGCCTTCTTGGGCTACTGCTTGTGGCAGAACAACAGATCAACAGTTTTGACATCTTTCAAAACAGAACACAAGCATCTCTTTAGTTGAGAATTCACATTCTATTATCATAAAACAATTACTGTAAGTGAATAATGGTATGTGAGAGAGTGAGATTATTCAGTCCATGTTAACCGTACCTGGCTGTGGCCTTGCCAAATGACTTGATGTGGTTGTACCAGCGCAGGGCGTGGCACAGGTCAGCTGATGGTGGTCCAGACAGGGCGGAGAACACGGCTACATCAGCCTGGGAGGGGGTGAACCTAAAAACACAATTGATAATGATAATATTTATAATAATAATTAAAACTATTATGTTTACTAGTGCAAGTATATTTGTAATGAACTTATGCTCTTACCCAAAATGTAAAGCTAAATGTATCAAAATGCATGGTGACCACTAATTATTCAAGTAATGATTTGTGATGCAACTTAACTAATAACAAAAGATACTGCGAACATTTTTACTTGGTAAAAGAAAATGAAAACTATTCTAAAACTACTCTTGGTGTCTATTTTCACAAGCATTTTTCTTTTATGAAATATTACTTACAATAAACTTGTTAAGGTTAAAACTGAGAACTAAATATTGACATGGTGCTAACAACACACAGAACAAACTTATCCCAACTTACACATGGGCAATCGTAAAATCGAGCCTGCATAATAAAAAATCAAAACGCAGATAATTTTCAGCGAAATTCTGCTCGAATAACAGATACACGTATAGTAGCATTCAATTGACCTATTTATCTGTATTGCGCTCTTCACTGTCTACAAGGAAAGTTTGACAGTTTACACTACGCAGTCTACACTACACTACAGTTTACTGTAACACGTTCTTAATGACACTGGCATAAATCGACAGATACTCATTAATAAGCCGTTGACACTTACCCTTGTATGTAACTTCTGTCGGCCAGGAACTCATTAAGGACCTTGAGGCCAGCAGCACTCTTCAGATCACCGAAACCCATCTTAAACGGTGGATAAAATGTTTGGGAGACGTGCACACGTGTTACCCTGTCGATCACTGGTCGGCGAAAAGGCGGAAGTTTAATGTGCGCATGCCGACATTTAGCTTTAGTTAGTAACATTGTATGTCTATATAAATATTTCATGTAAATATCACAAAAAATAAACAAAAAACTGAATTATGTCAACTGAATGCTAAATGAGTATTCTAATCATTATTTTAAAAATATTTGATTTTTATTTACCCATCATGCACTGCGTGAAACTTGCATCCATATTGTTTCCGTTTTAGAGGTAGGCTGTGTGTTTTGGTCATTTTTTTGTCGATTATTGTATCAAATAAATGTTAACAGGCTACCCAGTTGCTACATATTTTATATATGTATCTTTGATACCATAGGAGTTTCTTGCAAATTGGTTTTGCGCTTTTCAAAGTCGTTGAATTATCGCGTTAAATTTTAGCCGACGTTACAAAACCAGACAAGGTTATTTCGGCAATTCCTGAGAATAATTTTGACTGGGAGTGTGGCATTGAAAATTATGTGGCAGATAAAAAACTGCTGCATTTAAGATGGAATAGTGGGTGACATTGTACACCCAAGAGTACCAAGAGAATTTCTTCATTGTTATAAGCCGATTGTATATTCTGTAGTTTCTCATTTCATTTTCAACGATTTGCCCATTTTATTTGCATCGAATTACTTATCATAAAGCTACATGTGCACAGTATTTATTCTTTCAGGCTGCCACCATGCTGAGGTTGTGGCCCTTGAGTAAAAGGGTGTTGAACACACCAAGCTGGACAGCTGTTGCAAGTATGTAGGAGTTGTAAAACTGATATAATAATCACATGGTGACATTGGTCGTATACAAGTAGTCACTTAATGTTATCTTAATAACAATTATAAAAAATTACAAATTTTATATTAGCTCAAAATTCCATGTCATAGCACTCAAATTTGCAATCTCTGAAGTATAGTTATTTGTTCTAAAACATGGAAAAAAGCAAGAGAAAATGCCCTGTACCATGTATGAATTGTTAGCACCAGTTTCTTGCACGATACAAATAAAACCCACATGCAAAAATAGTCTTGTACAACAGAGGGACTTCAAAATTTTCTGGTGGTAATTTGACTTTTTTTTTTCTTCTAGTGTATAAAGCAGAGAAAGTAGACAAAAATATCTGTGTAAATATTATTTTTCATGAATTAATCTAAAATAGCTCTAGTGTATTTCTTTGCATATTTAAAACTATATGGTGGCATTTGTTTGGGTCTACTGGCAATAATTTGACGTGAGTTCTTGCTTAAGATGCATCTTAGAGTTCTCTAACCCAAGCATTTCTTTCATCTCCAGCACGGGGTCAGTCTACTGCCAGTGACAAAGTCGAGGTTTTTATCAATGACACCAGGGTAGAAGTTGACCCAGGAACAACAGTGCTGCAAGTAAGTTAAGTGGTATAAGGAATAAAAACTAGATTGTGTTGTGTTTGAGTTTTAGATATCATAGGTGGAAGTAAGATTTACAATGATCACGAACTCCAACATTTGACAGTTTCAAGATTGATAGCATGTAGAACTGATAATACTTTAGCTTGAACATAATTCACTGTTAGAATTTTCCCATTTAGATGTGGTCACTTATAATCAAATCATTTTGGAAAATGGGTTTTAACAATTTCCGTTGTTTTAAATGAGAAATGGGCATTGGTCCATTGCTTTTTTATCACCCTGTGCTTATATTTTATATCATATTCTATGTTTAAATTTTATTTATAGTCTGTATTTATGTGGTTTGCAAATAGATATTTATAAGTATTATGTTACTCAGCCCCATAGTATTGGTATGTGAAATAAAGTTAATTGAACTGGAATTATTTCAGGCATGTGCTGTGGCTGGAGTAGAAATTCCTCGCTTCTGCTATCATGACAGACTGTCCATAGCTGGCAACTGCAGAATGTGTCTGGTAGAGGTGGAGAGATCGCCCAAGGTAAGTAATAGATCTGTAAACTCTGTATGTCCATAGCTGGCAACTGCAGGATGTGTCTGGTAGAGGTGGAGAGATCTCCCAAGGTAAGTAATAGATCTGTAAACTCTGTATGTCCATAGCTGGCAACTGCAGAATGTGTCTGGTAGAGGTGGAGAGATCACCCAAGGTAAGTTAGAGATCTCTTAACTCTGTATGTCCATAGCTGGTAACTGCAGGATATGTGTGGTGGAGGTGGAGAGATCACCCAAGGTAAGTTAGAGATCTCTTAACTCTGTATGTCCATAGCTGGCAACTGCAGAATGTGTCTGGTAGAGGTGGAGAGATCACCCAAGGTAAGTAAGAGATCTCTTTACTCTGTATGTCCATAGCTGGTAACTGCAGGATATGTGTGGTGGAGGTGGAGAGATCACCTGTAATAATAATATGTAAACCCAGCATTTACGCTGTGTCTTTTGTTTGAATTACTAGTATCGGTAACTGCTTGAGGAACAGACTCAGACTTTTTTGAAAACAAAGGAGAAAATGAAGATAAAGACAAAACTTGGCTGATGATGTTATGTCTAAAAAGATTTTGTTAGGGGATAGAAAGAAACAGAAATTGTGAAGACTAATATAAGTTAATAAAAGTTAAAAAGTTAATAAAAGTTTAATGAAGTAAACTGTTCCTCTTTGGTAATTATTTATATTAAGAAAAGCATCAGTGGTAGATATGTAAATATAAGAAAAGCATCAGTAGTAGATATGTAAATAAATGATAACAGATTTTAATTATAATTTTGATTAACAAATTATCTTATACCTTGCAGCCTATCGCCTCCTGTGCTATGCCAGTAATGAAAGGCATGAAGGTCAAGACAGACTCCGAGGTCTCTCGTCGAGCACGTGAGGGTGTGATGGAGTTTTTATTAATGAACCACCCCCTTGACTGCCCTATATGTGACCAGGGAGGGGAGTGCGATCTTCAAGACCAGAGTGTTGCCTTTGGAAGTGATCGCAGCAGATTTACCGACATAAAATTTACTGGGAAAAGGTATGGAGATTGTGATTGTATATGTTTGCCTTCATTCTGTCCTTTTTGGCTTCCGCTGACTAGCATGATCTTAAATGCCAGTTGCAGTTTTTCATTGTAGGAAAAATTACACAGATCTTTGACTGAGAAATTGAAAATAATACTAAAATTAAAATTTTTAATTTTTTCATTTCCAGAGCTGTGGAAGACAAAAATATAGGCCCTCTTATAAAGACAATTATGACTAGATGTATACATTGCACTAGATGTATAAGGTAAGTGAAATCACATTGTGGTATTTTTTTATTTATACTGATGTAGTGAAAATTATAAACAAATTTTACAGTAACTATTTGTGAAAAGTTGTTTTTCAGCCATTTGATAATTCTGACTTAAGCAATTAATTCCTAAGATGGTGGAGAAGAATTTAATACTGTAATGGCAAAGTAAAAAAAAATCTGTAGACTGTACAATCAAGGCCGGCTTGTATATTGGGATTGAAATTTATTGGGCTTTTTTTTAAGGGGCCCGCACACAGTGAGCATTTGGCGCGCGCCACTTGCGCTGCGCCGTTTTCTCATCGTGTGCGGGGGTATTTTGGTGAGATTTTTGCCTCTCGCGCGGCTGAGCAAAATTTCTCACGTGTTTGATTTTTTTAATCTCTTGAGGCAAATGTCTCAGCGTGTGCGGGGTGCAAGCGCCGAATGCTCACGCCATGCCAACAATGCGCATGTGCCGGTAGCCGGAAACAAAGAAAAATGGCAGCCTCCAGCGAAGTAAACAAAAGTGTACACAGTTATAGTTAGTCTGATTGATTAACGTGGTCACCATTTGCCATTACTTTCAGAAAAAAAAAAATGTAATGTTTCCTTAATCACATGATCCCACAGTTTGCGGTGCGTCCGATAGGGGCAGGCCAGGAGGCATCTCTGCTGAGCAAAGAGCGCATCGTTTGCGGGGAGCTGAGGAGCGCGAGCATCTGGTGCAGCGAAAGTGGCGCGCGCCGAATGCTCACCGTGTGCGGGCCCCTTTAGAGTCACAAATATTTATAGATATTAATACTTTGTTTTTGATTTTCCAGATTTATAAATATTGATACATTGTTTCAAATTTACCAGTATTTATAAACACTGATATGTTATTTCAGATTTGCCAGTATTTATAGATATTGGTACATTGTTTTAAATTTTCCAGTATTTATAAATGTTGATACATTGTTTCAGATTTGCCAGTGAGGTGGCAGGAGTGGATGATCTGGGGACGACAGGCAGAGGAGGTGGTCTCCAGGTCGGGACATATGTAGAGAAACTGTTCCGCTCTGAGCTTTCTGGGAATGTGATAGACCTGTGTCCTGTAGGAGCACTCACTTCAAAGCCATATGCTTTCACGGCTCGACCATGGGAAACAAGGTATTCCTTCCAGATTGGAGTAGTTAAAGAATTGCAATGGTTGTACGTGTAGATTGTAATTTAATCATGCCAACAGGATATTAATAAATGGCAAATATTTATGTTCATTTCAACATGTAAGTACAGTATAAACTTGTCATCTAATAAATTGTAATGTGTTATCTTGATAAGATCTTGTTGAACAGATTCTTTCTTTTGTATTACCTGAATCTCATGCACCTTACTAAATTAAATCTTAGGGCAACAGTGAACAGTTATTCTAGTCCTGAAGTATTTAAGTAAAGCATAGTCTACAATGTACATTAATCTTAATTTCGTGTCTGTACTCCAGGAAAGTAGACAGTATAGATGTCCATGACGCAGTGGGCAGTAACATCGTGGTTAGTACTCGGACAGGCGAGGTGATGAGGATCCTGCCCAGGGTCAATGAGGACATTAACGAGGAGTGGATCTCGGACAAGAGCAGGTCTGTGATAGGTGGTTTATTCCACAGTAGCGATTTCCTTAATTACTGTAGAAAACCTTCATAAAATAGAAAAAAAAAAAAAAAAGCAGGAACATGTGGCCATTGTTTCTGTAGATTGGTTTAACCTCATAATGAACTGTTACATGAGAATTTTTGTTATAAAAATAAAATGAAAAATATTACCAGATTGTTTGCACTTAAATATAATAGAAAATATCGCCAGATCATTTACACTTGAGCATAATAGTATTGACCAAATCAAATAGTAAAATAGATAAATCACAGCATATCATGTCTCATCTGTAGGTTTGCCTATGATGGCCTAAAGAGGCAGCGTCTGGTTACCCCAATGATGCAGAATGATGATGGAGTTCTAGAGGAATGTGACTGGGAGGATGCACTGATCACCTGCTCCAATGTGGTGAGTAACGGACAGCAGAGACTCCTCTCCATGTTATTCTGAAAATAGAGACCTCTCTCTGGGTTGCTAAACACAGCCATGAAAACATATCCCATATGACTTTTGCATATGGGTGGGTGGGTGGGGGTCAAGGCTGTGATTTCATGTATATTTGTGTATAACAGTAGAGGAAAAATGGTTCGTACAATCAAGCTTAAATGGCATTCGAGATCTTAGACTAGTTGTTCATACTTTGTTTCACCTCCACACACCTACTCATAATTGATTTCTGTGGACTATAGGTTGCTGATACGCAGTGCATGAACAGACATCTCTTCTTTTTAAGTGCTTTGATACAGGGTTCAGTATCCTTATATATATTTCAGCTGGACAATTTCAAGGGCAGTGAGATAGCTGCTGTAGTTGGGGGACTGTGTGATGCTGAGGCTCTGGTGGCACTGAAAGATTTCCTGAACAGTTTGGGTTGTGAGACCCTGTGTACAGAGGAGAGCTTCCCCATGGACGGGGCTGGGTAAGGACTTAGAAAAGGAAGTCATAATATTATTGAAAATAATTAAACTCTAGTGTGTGTGTGTGTGTGTGTGTGTGTGTGTCGGAGAGAGAGAGAGAGGTATTTATTGTCACATGTAAAAAAAACATCAGGGTTACATTATATATTCAGATACACAAATCCTGATATTGAGCATGCAGATCATTTGTTGCTGATTATAAAAGTGATGTATTGACGGGACTTTGCTTGAATTTCCTTCTGACCAAAAAAATTCTAAGTAATCCAGGGTGAAAGACATTTATAATTTGTTGTGAAAAATAAATATGATTAGATTAAACAATTGCTTGTTTTTTATTATTATTTAATCAATTAATTAATATTTTCAGGACGGACCTTCGCTCTAACTACCTGTTGAACACCAGAATCACAGGTGTGGAGGAGGCTGACATGGTGCTGCTAATAGGAACAAACCCACGCTATGAGGCCCCTCTGTTTAATGCCAGGATAAGAAAGAGGTGAGTACCTGCCTTGGATGTATGATGCTTTTCACCTGCAGTGGAATTAACTATCTGTGCCATAGACCAAGGGGTGTAGACTTTCAAATTATTATGAAGGGTTTAAATGCACACTAAAATCAGGGCATTCAGTAGCTGAGCACTTGGGCCACATTTTATGGACACATTTGGGACAAAGCAATCTAAGATATGTAGTTACTACGTAACGTGTACATATTATTTTATTGTACTGTGTGTAAAAAAAGACAAATTGTCAGAATTCTCCTACCTATTCAAGGCAGATCAAACTGTATCAAGATTAAAGACAAAACAGGGGTTGCCAGGAGGTGATAAATGAGATTTGACCATTTTTACTTGTAAAAAACACTGCAAAGTATTACTTGTCCTCAGATAAGTTCAACGTTAAACATGTTTTAAATCTTTCACTGAGCACCTTTTCAAATCAGAAAATCTCATCTATCACAATGTCTTATTAGCAAAGCTATTGACTCACATTTTATAATCTATCATAACAATCTTAAAGATGTTCTATTTGTTTTTATTCAGCTGGGTCCACAATGAGTTAGACATAGCCTATGTGGGACCTAATGTGGATCTATCATATGACTATGAGGTAACATACTGAAATATTGAACAAGATCAGAGAAATTCAAGGAAAATTATCTTTTACTGATTTATGTAGAATAAAAGATTAATCCTTTGTTATGACTGGTAGTAGCATATAAGGGAACTACATTTTTAATGAACACTTACATATGTAAACTAAACCAATTTTCCACTCTCAGTCTATAACTTTATATAATATTATGATAAAACATTACTGTTATTCTGATATTCTGTAAAATGATTACTTCAGAAAAGATCACACTTTTGCAAATTATGGAGATAAAAGATAAAATTATTATTTGTATTTATTTTCTTATTTATTTTTATTTATAAAGTTCTGGTAAAATTGTACTTACTTGGGTTACATGATTTCATTCCTCTCCTCCAGCACCTTGGAGACAGCACTAAGGTTCTTATGGAGCTGGCCTCAGGGAAACACCCATTTAGCAAGGTAAATAATAATAACAGTGATGATGATGGACCCCCTGTTGTCTGGGTATAAACAAATATTTCATCTCACACATCACACACTTTGGAAGACTTTAGTCACAAGTCTAATTGGTTTTATGCTTTACTTAAGTGTAATGATATATGGAAATGGAAATGTCATTATTTATTTATTTATTTATTTATTTTTCACAGAAGCTAGCTTCAGCCAAGAAACCTATGGTGGTAGTTGGCAGCACAGCTCTGCAGGGAAAGGACAGTCTGCTTATCCACGCTTTGGTGGCTCAGATAGCTGAGAAGGCAAGAAAGGGCAGCACAGTGGAACCTGATTGGAAAGTTCTCAATGTTCTACACAGAGTGAGTAATCATTCTTGTCATCATGTATTAAAGGCCATCTGTCATATTTGTTGTGAACTAGCTTGTGTTAAAAAATTTTGGTAACTTACATTTACGAGACAGGTTGTCCTAACCAAATTGCACAAGTAGAAGTCATTCTGGAAGAGAGGTCTCCAAAATTATTTTGTTTAGACCAGATAGTTAAGGTGGAACCATATGACAAAATTACTGAAAGCAAATTGATTAAAATACTTCTCATTTTTTCAACCTGATGCATTGTATTTTAGACATTAAAAAAACCTTGAGTGTGTTTTTTCCAATGCTAACTTTCCATTGGTGTTTTCAGCATGCTGGCCAGGTGGCAGCACTAGACCTAGGCTACAAAGCTGGAGTAGAGGATATCAAGAAGAGCCCACCCAAGGTGCTCATTATGATGGGAGCTGATGATGGTGCAGTCTCCAGGTCTGATCTACCTGAGGACTGTGTAGTTATTTATATAGGTGCGCTTTTTTCATTCTCTTATTTTCTTTCTCTTTTGGGTAAGTGTCAGTAGTTTTTAAAGAATGATAATGGATTATGCAGCGTTGATTTTGAACTGAATATTATGTGCCTGGAAGGAGATTTAAATATTCATGGTTTTAAAAACTGTTTGCAGGTCACCATGGCGACCACGGCGCTGCCATGGCAGATGTGGTTCTGCCCGGTGCTGCGTACACTGAGAAGGAGGCCACTTATGTTAACACAGAGGGAAGAGCACAACGCACCCTGAATGCTGTCTCCCTACCAGGGCTGGCAAGAACAGATTGGAAGATCCTCAGGGCTTTGTCCCAGGTAGGTTTTATATTTAACATTTCCTCAGGGCTTTGTTCCATAATATTGATGTGGCTTGGATATGTTTATAGTGTCGGATAATACAGCTAGAATGGTGTTGAAACTGTAACATCTTAATTAAAAGGAAATACAATGTTTCAGGTATGTGATAAAACTCTTCCATATGAGACCCTGGAGGGTGTAAGAAGTCGCCTGGAGCAGGTGTCCCCAACCTTTGGAATGTACGGCCAAGTGGAGGACGCCAACTACTTCACACAGGCACTGCAGTTAACTCAGGTAGGCATCCCAAACTACTAGGAAACAGTTGTACACGTGAATAAAAAAATTAAAAGTGTTCTTTCAGTGACTAGGCTGATTGCCGAGTGGAATTCCTATCACCCAATGTGATTAACTCTATCTAAGTTTGGACTGATTTGATTTTTTCAAGAAGATGAGAGTTAAGATTACTAGGTTAAATAGGTGCATTAAAAAAACACACTTTCTCTTTATGTAGTTCCCATGTACACAGTATATAAATTAACTAATTATTTTATGAGCTTAATTGCTAACTTTCCAGAGCATCAAGGGTTCAGAAGCAGGCAGTATAATAGACGTCCCCCAGAAGGCACTGAAAGACTTTTTTATGACGGACTCGATAAGCCGTGCCTCACGCACCATGGCCAAGTGTGTCAAGGCTGCTACGGACGACGAATCCAGCAAATATGGCGGGAAATATTAGACTGTCGTAAAACAGAAAGGATATTTATCCATAAAAAACTTGTACCAAAAATTGAAATTTTTTAGAGAAAAGACGGAAAGAAAAAAGGAGTAATGCTCTTATTTTCAAGAAATTTGTCGCAGAGATTTTGGTTAAAAGTATTGGTATTATTGACTTCAAACTGAAAGCAAGAGGAAAGGTTTGAAAATGTTGTTCTAAAAGTTTGAGTTATAGTAGGAAACGAATCACGAAAGTAAAGAAAGATATCTTAACAAATGTGTCTTCGTCGAAATTTGGACAAGCATACGAATGTATCTTTTTCAAAATTTGGACGAGAAGCATTGTGAAGGATTAAAACACTGCTGAGAGCTGGATGTAAAAGCTCATCTATTTCAACAAATGACTAACATACAGAACAACAGTGTTGATGCTTGTGTACACGAAATTATGATTATGGTCTTGTTATACGTGGTTTGCAGTCCATTTCCAATTTCTCTGTGGCGTTAGAGTGAGATATAACAAGGGAATATTATATTACTTTCACCAGATACCCCTGCTCTTTTGCATGCTTCTGAGAAACATTTGCGTTTTGTTGTACAGATATTAAAAAAGTAAAAATGTAAAAAAAAATGTGTCGTCTTTGTTTGCATACTAATTAAATAATAAAACGTAAAAAAATGAAAATAGTTGGAACGACTTTCCTCGAGCTTTAGATCTAACATTTCTAAACTCAGTCCCTATAATAAGACGCTCTATATATTTATAATTTTGTTTGCATAAAATCGTCAACAATAGACTTTATCTTTAAAAGTAGAGTTATGCTGCTGTATAGGCATCAACAAATAATAAATTTTGTTATGACACGTCTATGGTTAAAAAAATGAGTTAACTGTAGACATAATGCGGTAAGAAGAAATACGACGTAAAAACTGCAGCAAAAATTAGATAAAATTATCATTGAGTCGTAACTTTAAATTCTCATTTTTTATCCAACCTTCACCTGTTCTCCGTAAAGCGCGAGAGGCGTCCTTTGCGCCATCTGACTTCCTGTGTGCGAGACTTAACGTAACATGCTTTCTCTAAGTATGCCAAATTTTACATTTAATCAGCAATTCGCCAAAACGGACCCTGTAATCGACAGGGGCGGATCCATGATTATCTGAAGGGGGGCGGGGGGGGGGGGGATCCGCCGATGCAAAGGTATGGGTCCACGGCGAACCATGTATGAGGTTTAATGAAAAAGCAATCAATTTCATTTATTCACGGGCAAGATAATTATGTTTATCCATGCAATAAACGTTTAAAATAATAAAATAAAATTATGCGAACGTGAAACTAATGTGAAGTGTGCAACCTGAATTGCGTTTCCAAATGGGTTCCAAAGGCGCGATAGTACGTTAGGCATCTTGTGACTGAATAATTAAAACATTCACTGAATAATTTACACATTATGCGCAAGAGAAGGTGACCGCACGTATTACAAATGGTCAGAGAAAAAACATAACAAAATTCCTAATTATACGGCAGACATAAGAAACTTGGCAAAAATCATCAGCCAGAACGTCATGGCACCATCAGCTCTTGTGGCTCCTCCTGTTGATGGGTCAATAGGCCATTTACACATCTGGTCGAAATCGCACGTGTCTGCAGCTTTCCCTACAGAATTCATCAGTGTTTCGATGTCACAAAACATGTCATTACATCCGGGGAACGTGGTCTCGCGTTCGTTCACGTGCATTTTAAATTTGTGAGCGTTTCCACATTTGTAGACGACAAAGTTTATGTTGGATGCCATAGGGTCTATGTAACTTGTTCTGAGTTTTCTGTTTCCTTGGGAGAGGAAGTTGTCAGCTGTCAATGGTGTTGAATCCTTGAAGAGCCCTAGATTTGCGTAGAATGGCACAATTGTCGGCGAATGCCCAACTCGAATAACAACTTTGGTAAAATTGTCTTTCGTTGACGCATTCCTGCAATAAATAAATAAAATAAAATAAACGGGTTAAACATGTGATTTTGAAAATTATAGGGTGGGGGATATACTGCACTAGTAGCCAAAATTGAAAGCTTTGTACCCTCAAAGTCACATGATATGTCTTTTTACCTCAGCATTAGCATTAGCTAGTGAAAACGCGTCAGTTTATAAACTTAAGTGACATGGATTAAACTTGATTTAAAAAAGAAAATGATCACCGGGAATTACAGAAACATTTATTCAAACAGCTTTGACATAGATGAACAAAAAATGTAAAAACTGCTTTGAAAAAAGTAAAAAATGTGAAAGTTGGGGGATAATGCAAAAGAAGGCTTATCTTTAATTTCAGTGTAATGGGTTTCTCTGTTATGTTTATATTGGGAGTTGAAGATATGCTTATTTTACCTAACTGATCCAATAAAATCTTTCAAAAGAGGACAGGCCTGTTCATAGCTGAGCTTATGTCCGTAAGAGTATTTATAATAATATGGTAGGTCGGTTCTGTATTCAAATGCCTTCAGGTCGTCTCGTATAAAAACTGAACACCAGGGAGCAGCACTAGAATTTTTGACGGTACTGTCTTGTGTCAAGCCATATATGGCATATTCACTGGCACAGGCGAGCCACAAGGACTGCGACACGGCTGAAATTGGAATCCTACATATCATTTTGCAGTTTTGACTGAAAACGGGAATTTTAATTACTGGTATTGTACTTATAATCATGACAAAATCATTTTCAGAAATACATGTACTTGATAATAAAAAAATATTATTATTATTATTATTATTATTATTTTATCGCTGACGAGAAGTTCCATTTTTATTAGTTCCAATAATCATAAGCTACGTCCTCTAAATCTAAACCAAAAAGACGACAAATTTGGTAACCGTTGTTAATTTCATCAAATATTACTTACAAATGTTCATGTTTTGTCTCAGTCCAATCCTCCTTGATATGTTAGCAATAACTTCCGATATTATTGCGCCGTTGTCAAATTTGTCTAGTTCCGCAACAGGCTTGCTCCTTATGGTCTGCAACATAAAAAATACAGTGAAAAAAATATCATGAAAATAAACAAACGAACAAAATATCCTCATTGAAGTCTTATATCCAAGAGCGTTTTGTTTCACTAATAGGTCCGCTTAGAAACTTTGTAACTCAGCAGCTCATTCACGATCGGACTTTCGGGATTTGCAAGTTCATTTTCTTTTATTTATTATTTTTTTTCTTTTTTGACATAATATTACCTTAGGTTATTGAGAACGTACCTTTTTGTATCTCTCGCAGGCATCAAAGAAACGAAGCAGGCGGTCGTTTGTCGTTGGATACACGGTCATCGGTATTCTGTTGACCAGCGCCTCCAGTTCTTGGTCGGTCATACCTGGTGGACAAAAAAGTGAAATAAATGTGTTGTACTGATGACACATAGGCGTTACCACGTTATATATACTTACTGAAGAAGCCTAGGAATCAAACTGTTTGTCATGAATACATGTACAGCACGTGGAGTTTTTTTGCGCTGGATATAGTATTATAAGCTCCCGTTCTAAGAAAGGTTGTGGTTTTGGTTTGATACGGGAAGATACGCTTTTAAGTTAATCCGTTTGGCTTTCTAAGGCCGCATGTCGTCAACAGAGGAAAAGGCTGTTGTTTGATTAAAAGGCACATTATATCGTATAATTAGTCAAACCAAGGCTCCAGGTCTGTGGACTGCAATTTCAAGAGAAGGCTTCTTTTTCAGAAAAAGTGGACCATATGTTAACCCATTCATTGACCCAACTTGAGAAATTGCATAAAGTTGGATCAAATATTGATTCAGATCAAAAGGGACCTATTCCGCCAAATTGGTCGGTTCTTCCTAACTCCCCGGACCTCCCTTTCGAGCTCCCCTCACCTACGGGCCTTTAGTCTACTACCTTACCGGGTTGCTTTAACAATCCCTTTGCAAACGACTTGGCACTCTCTCTGGTACGCTCAGTGTCTGTATGTCGAAAGTGGAAAGATGCAAGCATGTCGTCGATTGAAACGTTCAGCAAAGTTGGGTACTTAATCCGGAAGTTTTTAGCTGAAAATATTGTGATAAAGCCAAAGTTGGAATATTTATCATGATGTCAAGCTGATTTTATTTTACGAGTGATTGGGAATCCTAAATAAAAAAAGGAAAATGCAATTTTACTTGGTCTTATCGAAGGTTAGGCCAACTACATGTGTATTAAATCAGAGTTGTACTTTTCCATGATAAGTACTCCACACTAGAAACAAAAAAATCTCAGAAAAGGAAAAAAAACCCTACATATAAAAGAAACTGACATGCGTTTTTCATGTGTTTATAATTACCAATACGCATCATTTCTTCATAGCCGGTCTTGACCAATTTAGAACCATCGCTTGGATCCATTCTCGGTTTCCAGTCTCGCAGCGCCGCGAGATCTCCGGCACAGAACTGATTGGATACTGGAAAGCAAAAACGCCTGGATTGCTTATTGTAACATTTGTTAAAGAAACAAAGAAAATTATTTCGCTAAAAATAAAAGTCACGTAGATTGGTTTTTCACGATGCACTCCCCAAGTTCAACTTAAAGAATATCGCGTCAGGTGTTTTGGTTTTCCTTTGTAATACTTTTCAGATGTTTTATAGAAAAATGAAGTTTATATATGAACGAAAATTTATAAAAAGAAATAAAAATAAAGTCTGTCATTTTACTTATTCATGAATTGGGAAATTTTGACTGTTTACTTATCATTGATAAAAGTCTGACGGGCTCAGCATGAAATGAAAAGAACGCACCTATTAAATTTCTCTTAATTAAACAGGTGTAACATCCCTCCAACCGCCCTACAGTTACGTCATTTTAAGTGTTTCGCAAGTTTTAGTTTGTAATGATTTCCTCTAAAATAGCCATTTACCTGTAGTATTGGCAACAATGTTGTCCCTAAATACCGGCAGTATGGCATTAAAGACTTCTATATCGCTGTCTGCAGGGTAACGGTATCCATGGCGAAGCAGATGCCATATCATTACAGGGGAGCAGCCTGAAAGGGATGTATTTAATTTTTTATGACAAAAAAAAAGGACACAGATTACGTGGATTTAACAAACCTAATTAATTTGGAAAACTGAGGATTTTATCGAAATATCTGGAAGATTGAGAAACCAACAAAACATTGCATATTCATGCCCTCGTATCTGTTTGTATTCAGTCCTTGGTGAGCACCTACCCCTGTACTTCTGTTCAAAAACAACCAATATACGATCTGGATAAACATGACCAGAATGATTACACCCTTATAATTACTAGAACACAATATTGTGTTCCAGTCTCTATTTGCCTTGAACCCAGAGTATAAGGGCTCATTCCCCACGAAACTATCGTCCTAGGTAGATCAATTCAATTACCTGCACGGGATTCTCGCTAAATGCAATCAAATTAACAGATAAGTACGCCTCCTCATGGCGTTTGGTACATACAGAAAACTGGTGATTATAAGAGAACCAGTACGGTGGAAACAAGAGGAGGTGCTTGTGTTAATCTGCTTGCATTTAGCGAAAATCTCCTCGCAGTTGGATCAATCTACGTAGAACGATAGGTATGAACCCCGAGATGCGACTCATTGCGAGGATCGAGGTCATTTCCTTTATGAAAAACGCTTACTCTGTAAAAATAGCACTATGTAGTTATAGCTCTTGACGTGCGGGCAGGGTAACTCCTTTGTTACCCTGTACATGTAAAACATATACCCTGATCTCTGCTTACGTGTGATTTTTCATATTCTGTATGCAGATACGTGTGCAGAATATATATACCAGTAACTTGATCTGTATAGCGCCTACTTTTGATACGAACGACAGCCCCCCATAAACTACGTGCCAAAATCTGAATATGTTATTGTACGGGGGTGTGGGGGAGGGGGGGGGGCAGTAATGCACAGTATTGGTAATGTTATACATTTGTGGTCTTTGACCTCTTAGACATTACCTGCGTCCACGGTGTCACTTCTCCCCGTGTCCGTTCCCCCCGTCACCGCTGGTATCTCGGCGTACGCTGATTTGGTGCTGTATCGTCGATAGGGATCGGGGTCCGACGTGTAGCACGGTATCTGGCCGGCGCGCACACAAAGACAAAAGCATACCAGGCCTAAAGCAAGCACGGGCAAACAGGGTGTAAGCATCCAGTGTCCATACATTGTCACGGGTTGGTCCCCGTCATGCAAGACTATACCGTCACCGGCAACTTGTCAATTGCTTGCAATTGTGTGGTAACAAGAAGTCTTAGAGCGACAGCAAGTGCTTGTATATTGTACCTAGCGTGGTAGACTCAACTTCTGGTTTCAGTTCTATATTTCGGTGTAATTTCCGCACAGTCAATAAACCTGACCTACATCCCACGTACACGTCTACGGACCAATGTATCTGCAGAGTGCACGGTGGCCGTTTTTAAGATACCTTTGAAGCAAGTTTCTCGATAGTCACGGAGATTATATAAATTTAGGTGATGTTAATAAAGAACGTGAAACTGTACCCGAGTCAAACCGTGCAATAGTTAGAACAACACCGTAGGGTGCACTAGGGATTGGTTGTAATATCGTACGATCTAGGGTTATACTTTCGTTACTTCAGCTGAGCATGACTCATAGCATTAACATACGCAGTTCACGATGACATAATAATAATTTTTTCATTTGTTCATTATATATGGCTCCACATGCAGTCGAGCAGGAAATAAACCAAGTCTGACACTAAAATTGAGCATGTACATGAAGTGGCAGACCCCGTTTAAATCGAGAGGTAGGGTACTGGTACCGGCAGTGCGGCATGACTTTTAGAGAAAGGCAACTTCATACATTGTACGTAATTTAATTAATGGTCTCTTGCTCAAACTTTGTCACTCAATAAGGGGTACCGGAGGAGACGAGAATTTATCAGAATTGTGCCGGAAGTGACCTGTAGTGGTGTAAGACGCGAAGCTGAGTGGTCATTTTTAGCTGGAAATGAACGGGAGTAAAGTCGTGGACTCGGAGAAAAAAGCAGTTTTTTAACAACACGGTAACATAACAATTTACCTTTATGCATTTGGGGGAGAGAATACTCGTAGAAATAATAGGAGCATGGTATTGTTGCGTTTCTTTAATTCACTGTTCGAAACACAATCGGTATGTAAAGTAAAAACAAATGCTGCCACCATCTATCAGTTGTAAGTCTTTTTTATTTCTCCTGACAACTGAAAGTTTTCTTGTACAAACTTCAGGCTAAACTAAGGCTGTAAATCTCTAACGGCATAACTCTAAAACTAACTGTAAAACAACCTTCTTCTATCCCGCTCCTCTACACTATTCAACTATCTTCGACTATTATGTCGCTCCCCCATAGCTCAAGCGCATGCAGCCCGCCCTGTTCCCCATTGACGGAAATTTGGATACCACTCAAATCTCCGCAGGGCAGAAATCTGGCTGGGAGCCAAATCTGCGCTTAGCAGAAACCCAAATCTGCGCCGCTGACCTAGCTATCGCGTGCTACCGGCGCGTCAATCCTATGTCAAAAACAATTACAGTCGCTGAGATTGAGAACGCAACAGTATAAAAACGTGTCACGAATTTTAAGGGTGAAAAACCGTGCTTAATTTGCAGACAATTTGTTTTGAAATATATGCTGCATCGACCGCCGGCGCAACAAAGAGCGTCAAGGGAAAAAGAATTCCCGGGAGGCTATTAATCGTTGTCATGTGGGATTTTTGCATGTATGCAAACTGTTATGCCCACATCTAAGTATTTTTTGGGTGTTTTATGGTGTGTGCTGCAATTATAAGGATGTTTTAGAGCCTTTGAAGGACCTTGTGGAAGTAGTTCGCAACTGACAACTGAACTGTACCGATCCACGACTGCTGTGCAAAGATGTATCTTTTTTAAAATATTGTGATAATTTTAGACGTTTGTATGCCCATCTGACATGAAATTCCAAGCACGACTTCCCAACAATATAATGTTTGTCCTTGAGCATCGAGGAGTGCATTCCCATAGATTTAGATCGATCCATCTAGATCGACCGAACTCCCTTGGGTTTCACGCTAAATTGCTGTCAGCCGAGCGCGCACGGTAGTTAATTACCCCCTTACAGCTTTTAGTAGGCGGGACAGACATTTAAGCCGGCTAAGCTGACAGTAATCTAGTGAGGCTCCCCACAGGGATTGAGCGATCTAAAATCTGTGGCAATGGGGTCTAGAATGGTCTATACTAAGTACGTGACTGAGTAAATTCGGAAGGTTCTTATGTAGAAAAATATGTTTCTTCCAAACAGAAACCATTATTTTAAAATATGCAAATTCACATAACATATTATATTTATAGATTTGGTCAATTATTTTTAATAAATTGTGTCAAAGATAATTATAAATAAATTAATAAAAGGCCAAATGTATAGCTTTTAAATCTACCGGTAAACCAGTATTCATTTACTTTAGCCTGTTACCCCTGGAAGTACCCGTATATTGCATAATATGTGCATTTTAAGTTGTCGATGGCAGTACCGAGGTAGGAGGTCCCTGGCGCCACTAAGACCTCTGCAGTTAGTTGTGAAAACAGGATCGTCGAGTTTTGGGCTCATTTTATATTGCGTGGCTGCACCTTTTTTTAAAAATGAATGAATCTCATAAAGAGGACAAGATGCGGCATGACCTTCTGCAGGAATTCAGATCCATTACTTTCTCACAGGCCTACTACAAAATTTTTCTTACCTTACTCAAAGGGTAAGTTATTGACGTTAAGGTAATATTAGATGAAAATTTCAGGAACTGTTGCGAGAGGGCCTAGTGACAAACGGTAAGATTTAGTGGTGGTCCATTAAATGACTATTAAATGGTTGGTTATTAGTTGATTATTACTCAGTTTGTCTGTTAGCAACATAATGGAAAAAAGTTATGGAGGGATTTTGATAGAATTTTCAGGATAGTTATGACATGGGTCCGAATATGATAGCAATTAAATGATTTATCTTTTAGTTATTGATATGAGTTAATTAGTTAAGTGCCATTTCACGAGAGAATCAACCAAATCAGCCAAAATGTGGCAAGGTGGAGGTCGGCAGAATCAACCAATATTTCCTGTGTTTGATAACTGTTACAAAAGATATTGAAAGCACACTTTAAAAAAATTCTAAAATTTTTTGAAAAAATAGATATTGCCATCTGAAATTTTGGGGTCCTGACTACACAAAATATCGTAACAAAAGTAGTCGTAATTTGCTTGTTAATTCCATGAAGGATTTGACATTTCAGCTTTAACTATTCCTTTTTTTCTAAGGGTCCATACCAAGACTTTTCGGGTGATCTGTGACTAAAATGTCAATCACATTGCTATAGTAACGAACTTGGCCCGTAAAAAGAGGGACCAAAATCAAGGCCCAAATGTAGCACTCACCAATTGGCAAATTTCGCCTAACATGGCGTCGAATTTGAATAAAATAAGGCAATTTTTGAACAGTTAAGGACTTGAGCTTTGTAATTACGTAATTTAATACTGCACCTCTTCAGGATACATGTACGTAGGGGCCGGTTGACGTCTAGAATGAGGGGTGTGAGCGGTGAGTTATGCGGTGGTTCATTTCTATGGTGCTGTTAAGGTACGCCTTATTTTTATTAATCGTACTTTTTGTTTATATCAATACAATTGACAAAATTCTAAACAGTTTTCCGAATAATTAGCGTCGTTGTAATTGGTTTGAAGACAAGGAAAATATTTCGAAACTTATAGGGGAGACCGGGGATAGAGCCAACTAGGAATGAGTAAGAGTAACCAAACCGGTTTCATGAACTAAGCTATGCACGCAACGTCATTATTTTTCAAATATAATGCCAGATGACTCACAACTTTACAAAAAACGCGTAAGGGGGGCCAACTTGCCCCGCCACGGGTCAAGTTGGCTCCAGGGTCGGGGCAAGTTGACCCCTATACGAAAATGAAGTAAGTATCCCACGTAAGTGCCTTAAAATACATTTTTTATACATTTCTAATTTATTAAATTGATTGATTGAGTCTCTGATGAATAAATAGTTCAAATGAGGCAGATTTATTGAGGTTTCCGTCCGTCGCGTTGTATGTGTTGCTGGAACCAAAATATCTATCAATAAAATTTGTTTTGTTTTAATTGAGAATAAATTAATAATGATATGAAGCAGGTTTTTGAATGAAAACGAGTAATAAATTTTCGTTTTAAAAGAAACTAAACTGGTAATTATTTGTTTCAACAATGGTCTGCAGCTCTGTTGCGAGCAAAGGATTGTGGTCAATATGGGGGTCCCACTAGCCCCAGGTGCAGAATTTTTAGATTTAAGGATTGCAGACGTTTATGGTGCAAGAATGGACTCCGTCAATACATTTTAGTAAATTTAGTCTGATCCCCTATACTTTATTCGATCAAAAGCCTATGAAAATAGATTTTTCAATATCTTAAACTAAAATACTTTTAGGTGCAAAAAACGTTTATTTGGCCTCACCGCCCAAGTAAAACTTTTTAACGTCCGGCACTTCCTTAGCTTTGTACGGCTACGGGCACTTTACTAAATGATGTGATAAATTTTTTCACCCCGTACTTTTTCATAAATTGCTGGGGGCCAACTTACCCAGGGGTCCAACTAACCCCGGTCTTCCCTAACTCTGCGCGACATGGGTGTGGGAAGTAAATAATTTTGGTGCAGAAAAGATGTCATGCGGACTCAAACCTTCCTACAAATATCAGACGAGTTGCATTTTGCTTGGGGAGTGAACCAGACATGTTGAGAATTATTTACGAAATCTGAATATGATTCGTCCAGGGTCAAGTCAGGGATGATAGGGAGCCCATTCTTCAGACGCTCAGTATGTCCAGCTCAGAGCTGAAAACAAAATAGATAGCATTCCAGTTGGTTGGGGACTGAAGCAAGCTGGAGAATAAAGAGATTCTCTAGTCAAGTCATTTCTTCACAGTGAATTTGAGAAAGGAATTACATCAGAAAAGAAGGAATATCCAACTGATGTCTTTCAAGAAATGATGAATAAAAAACAAACAAGAAATTGTTCAACAAGGATGCATGGCTACGTGTTCAGCAAATCATTGGTTATTTTTCATGTTCAAGTATTATAATGAAGAAGCAAAGAAGAATGCCCTCTAGAGGCAAACATTAAAGAAACATATCAATGAAATGTTAGGTTTATGAAAAGACAAATATACATAATAGGCTTTTTTAGTTTTATTTTATTCTGTAGCCATATAAATTGTAGATATTTAGCACAGTGTCCTTCTGCTAAGAGCAGATTATAAATTTTTTCGTTCAGTTTTTTTAAAACTTGCAATGATGTATATAATGTAAATATAAGATGTGTAGAATGTGCCCCTGTATAAGTATTTGCACTAGAAGTTTTCAGTCGATTGAATGGCTATGTAGTGTTTTTTTAATTTCTCATAATTGGACACGGTGCTTTTTAATGTTTTAAATCATAATAAATATATTTTCTTATTTTAAAGCAATTTGTTTTTCTTTGAACAAGATATTGAAATAGATAAAAACAAAAGTTTAAATTGCATTTGAAATGAGGGTTTCAATAACAAATAACTTGAAAAGTACATAAAAGGTTCTGGGCTCCATTTTTTGGGGACAGGAAACTGGGTCCCTTGCTACTAGCCTCCCAAACGAATTGTGGGCATTTTTTTCTGTAACCCAAACATATTGGAAAGTTGAAATTTAACCCACTTAATAAGTGATATGACCACAGTTCAAATCTACATGTACCCCGTATCTGAAAGTTTGAAATGAACGTAGTGCGGTGCATTGTACAAATTCTTATGGGGTTGTTGATATTACATAAAGGTAGCATTATGCAACAGTCATACGGCTCATTCCCAATGAAACTTTTGTTGTAGGTAGATCGATTCAACTCCAGTGGTACTCTTGGTGAATGCTATCAGATTGCATTGAGTAGAATACAGAAAAGATGGTGACGGATTGTAAGAATGCACAGGAAACAAGAAGAGACGTGATAATTTGTCAACCTGATTGCATTCAGCAAGAGTACCAATGGGGTTGGATTGATCAGGGTAGAATGAAAGCTTCATTGAGAATGTGCCCATAGCACTGGCTAGCCCATCTTTTTACATTTTTACAACATTTTGAGAGGTATCTAATTTTTCACACATTTCTTGTGTGGCGCCAGCTTAAAGATCAGTAAGTGCAGGTTAAAAAGGATTCAAATTACTTAAATAAACATATGTTGAAATTTTGTGACTATCTTTTAAATACATTTGTTATATTCTTGGGGATAACACTTCTTATTACAGTAACAGATTCAACTGGACAAAGTGCATCCCACTTGCACAGGCAGTGAGGAATGACAGAAAGTAGGTCAAAAATCTCTATTTTTTGGGCATATATCTCCCAACCCATAAAAGGTGCAGTGGTTTTTATTTTTCATATTGATAGAACTATCCTTTGTTGATAATCATGGCAAGTTTCATGAGTCTACCAACATTTTTTTTTTGTGAGGGTAGGATCTAAAAGTGGTTTGGCGGGAGGGTGAGAAAAACGGGCATCAATTTACAGGAGGTGATAAAATCGTTTAAAAAACAACTTGGTTGTGATGTTAGATGTTTGTTCTAACCAAATATATACATTAATATAAAGTATTTTGACACTAATTTTCATTAAAATCTGTTGACCCCCACCTTGCCGCTATTTGGTTGAGTTTCTCGTGAAATGGCACTTTTATTAAAATATATATTTATAATAAATGACAATAGAGGTGATTAATAAAGTATTAATTAAGTTATAATAATGAAAATTGAGCTTCCTCAATGTTGTTCTGCGTTCTATCATTTTTTTCTACATGCAGTTGTTACTATAATTTGACTCATTTTGGACGTACGTAAATGTTCCTATTTAAAAGCAAAGCGTACATCAGTGCCGCCTGAAATTCCCCTTACCAAATGGCCACATGGTCTCCCAACCCTGCCCCGTATGGTCGAACAATAGAGGCCACATGATAATTACAGGGTAGGGGAATCCTCAAGTTATCCTTATCGGACACCCAAATTAGACGGTTCAACGAACACGCTCTGCCCCTTCTTAATTGCCTCACTTAAGGTTTCTATTATAGCTGATGCAAAGAGATTGCTATCGACGCGAGCAAACAATACCGGGTTATGTTGTATCAACTGCAACAGAAGACTAGAGTAAAGGCAGGTCGAATATGAGAACAAAACTCTGAAGAACAAATCAGGCTTAGTTTTAAAACATGTATAACAATTTTATTTGAGGTTCACTTGATGATAATACGTCATGATCAAAACAAGCGTAGTTAAAATGGAAAATTTTAAATAGCTAATACATCAAATGAATATCAATGTCTCATTATCTTTATAATTAAAATTTACCGCCATAACCCATAGCAATATTAAATGACAGATAACCAATATGTGTTGCCAAATTAATTGGACACTCTTGGAATAAACCGATCCAAGAGTTCAAATTTAAGATTATCAAGTTAGATGGGAATTTATGTTTACTCACATTTTTTTGTAAACAGAATGAGTCTATAATAGAAGTGGTGTTAGTGTGTGTGTTTTTATATCTGTGTGCCTTATCTACTTCCAGAAAATATGAAGGCAGTAGAAATGCCTGTCAAAGCATAGAAACTAAACTGTGGGACATACTCAATCAGTCGGAGATACCTTCACCAGTACGCATCATGGACTTTGGAGGAGGTGATGGAGAAACAATGGCACCCATCTACAGAAAACTGGACGCCCTTAATAAGCAAATGATCATCAGCGTGGAGGAACCACACGAGGATTCTCTGAGAAAATACAAGGAGTTGATTGATAACACGAGCATGACCTGTATTGATATTACCTATTCCGGTCCGTTTCAAGACTACTATGGGCATACTCTAGAAGATTTGAGGGTCATGAATGCCTATCCACAACACCTACAGGACAGGGTGCTAGCACTACACGTCCTTTATCATCTGACAAGTATCTTCGATGATCCCTTTGATCCATACGAGAATATGAAGCAAGCCATCTCAGCAATGTACACCATTCTTAAACCCGGAGGGCAGATGATTATAGTGTTAGAAAAAAATGAATTTTGTTTAATTGGAGCTGCGTCTCTGAAGTGTTCCGAGGTTCTATTTCCACATAAGACAAAAAATCACAAGTTGCTATTTGAAGTCTGGCAAAAACTTCTGTTTAATGGTGGTATTGCGGACATTTTAAATGAGTCGTTTCCGATGTTTAAGGCTTCAGTTCAACAGGAAGAAGTGGTCCACAACGTTGTTTTACCGACCCTAGAGGAGATTGGAATTGCAGTCTCTATCGGATGTCTACATGGTTTGTATGCAGACCAATCCCCGTTTGATCAACGTATTCTCCAGTTCTGCGTGGATTACGGGAAAAGTGACGGATATAAACATGGCCTGTACCTTGACAGTGAGGGAATGTGGTGCTTTCCGTTGAATACTTATTATATTACCATCCAGAAAAACACAAATGAATAATTGGTTCCAATGGAATAACGTTTTGATTTCAGAGCATTGTAATTGCTATTAATTCTTTTCAGAAGTGCTTAGAGGGACAGGCATATACAGAAATATACTAGACAGACAAACGATAATTGACGTTAGAGAAAGTATTATTATTTATAATCTATAATTTTTTTCTTATTTACACTTGCAATCTACATGTACCAAGAGCAGAATAGCTAATATTTTATGTGGTAAACTTTATTTAGTTTATCACGCTTTTATGGGGTATAACGGCCCGCTTGGCGCCAGGTGTCGCTAGTGTGATCGGTGAGGCAAATTAATTCAAAAGTAATGTTATTTATTTTTTAGCACGAATTTCATTTTAATCTAATAAAGCATATATGCATGATAAAATGTCCTTTTACATTAACTGCTTTGTTTTTTTCCTTGCTTGGTAATTATAATTATGTTCAGAAAATTCAAATTATTCATTAAAGTTTAGTTTCACCATTTCAGTGGTTGATCAATTGCCGAATATATTTGAATTTTAATTGAAATAGGCTTCAGAAATAAATTTTACTGGATCATCATCATCATAAAGCAAAAGCAAATAAATAAATATATAAATTTTCAAATAAATAGACAGATAAACAAATAAAATATTACTCCATTTTTCCCGTTTTCATCATCTTAACGGGCTGAATTCAGTGGGTAATGATGTTGCCTAGATTTAACACATAATTCGTGACGGAGAAATATGTTTTGCAAAAAATATGTTCAGTGAAAAATTAAGTCGATTGTGCAACTTGTTGACAAGTTCCTTTTTATTCCTTAACCTTTTCATGTTCTCATTTCGTCTTGTTTAAGTTATTATTATTATTATTATTATTATTATTATTATTATTATTATTATTATTATTATAAACTTTTCGACTGTATGGCGAATATTTATCTAAAGCGTAACTCGTCATTTTTCCATCCAGTGTTTCATGGACAGGTGCACCCGGTTGGATTGTTATGTTGGTGATGGAAATATGGCCCTAATCATGAATGCTACATGCAAATTAAACCTAGAAAGATATAAACTTAAATCTGTTTAATATCCTTTGGCTTGTAGATACAGCAAAAATGCTTTGCGATAGGCCTACAATTTGAGACAATTTTTCCCATTTAGTTAATAACGTCAGAACCGAATTCTGAAACGACGTGAAATGTATTAACAAACTTAAAATGAAAAAAAAAAAAAAAATAGATGATGATTTAATTAAAACAAACGTGATACCCATAACCCTACTATACCAAACGCATATTTGTCGATAGAATTATAACAAAACTTTACATCGGACGTGATTCTCTAGCATAGCGAGCAGTACAGAAAATAACACGATATATATACACCCAAACCCAATATAGAGGTGCATTTCACAGTGTCAAAAAATAAAATTGAATGAATTCAAAGTTGTATTCAATTCTTTAAAACATGCATGTGTATTGAAAAAAAACCCACGACTGCCTCAATTTAAATTCAAATTTTAATTTGTACCACGTCTTTTACATTTTGCAAAGAGCCCTAAATATAACGTGTGTTCCAAAAACGTACGGTAATATAACACGGTTGTGTTATACAAATTGTCTCTGTCTTTAAATCACATTCACAATCACGGAAGAGAAACCAAAATTAGAAACAAAAGTCCCGGTAAAGCAATAAATTTAGTTAATTGAAGTTACACCTCTCTTGGATGTCAGAAATAGGAAACCAGTGACGACTCTAAAATCGCAGAAATTCCTTGGGCCTCATTTAAGTCATTGCGCTTCTTTGATCTCTTCCACCAAAAACAGTCACTACACCTGGGAAAATTTTAGTTGAGGCCAATCCCAGTTTCGAGCGTTATGTAACCTTCCTACCCGGAGAACATATCCGTGTTCAGGGCTACTATGAAATGTAATATAGTCCCTGCACTTAGTTTTACCATACTTCCTATTAATCACGTATGTTACATTTAGTTCCTTTATTATTCCTATAAATTACACACATTTAGTAATAGTTCTTGGGCACGCAGGACTTAGAACAATTCCCTATGAAATGAGGGCTTCTCAGTTAGTGAGACAGAGAGACCCCGGGAGATCGTCGTGACAGTCCCTGCCTGCGTGCCAAGTTGTAGCCCGTCGGTAAATAGAGATCTTCATGAGCTACCATTGATGTCTTCGGTGTTTTCATGTTTGCTACCCGCTCAGAATAAAGTAACCAACCGGGTTACAGTAACGTATGTTCCGGATAATTTTAATTTTTCTACCGCATCCAGGTATATTTTGTAGTGGTTCAGTCATGGTAAATTAGACATGACGTAAGGATGTTTTTATACATATTTATACTTTAACTCAAGGGGCTTTGCATCATGGCTAAAGCTTGCTACCGTATGTTCCCTAGAAAGTATACAAATTCACATAACATATTCTCCTTACAGATTTAGTCAATTTTCTTGAATAATATTGTTCAAAGGAAAGTTTGGCGTAGTCAAACGAGATTTTATGGCGACAACAATCTCCAGAGTTTATTTACGCACATGCGCATTCTGCACATGCTCAATTCTACCTAGAGGGGTAGTCCCAATTGAGGCACATGTTGCTACTTATACCATGGGACGTCACTGCCTGACCCATTTTGCGCTCATTCTGTTGTGGCGCACGATACATTGAAGCTACAAGTTATCTCCAACTTTCAACTTAAACCTTCAGTTCAGAAAATTTCACCCACCGCCTTCCCCGTCTCCTCCATCATACCACAATTTTTTCCTCTGTCGACTAAACTTTGCTTGCATTATATTTGACCATCATACTGCGTGCGTTTTTTCTTTGATTTTTCAGTTTGTATACCTGTCAGTAATACCACCGTCCCGTGAAAGTGCCAGTACACAGTCCTCTACCGGTCATGCCCCAGCGAAACCTTCGTATGTGTTCTTCCGGTAGGAGACTTACCTTTTATAAGTTAAACTTAAACATCTTCAGCTGAAGGACGGCTTCTGCTTGCGTCATTCTGTGGCCCAGCACGCCCTCCAGCATCTGCAAGATCTTCCTAGTCCAGAGGAAAAGGTGCAATCGGATGAGGGTTTACAATGCAAATGACTTTACAGGTTTTAAAGACTACCTCTATACTGGACAGTCATCAGCCCAGCAAGCCTTGCGGGTTAATCATATATTATTACAGACATAAGGTGTGAAGAGTTTCAATTTTTCATCTTTAGCCGTGGAATACCGATCATCTGCTGCAGAGCAAGTAGCGGCGGTTCATCCTTATATTCTCCTGATGTCAGAGGATATTGGGTCAACTTTATATGAGTGTCTGACAATGTCCCACGAAATATTCGGAGTCCATTTCAAGGATTACTTCTGCATAACCCAAACAGAGGCCCAGCAAGCCTTGCCGGTCCATTCTTGATCTGTACTCACTGCAGAGGTCACTGGAACAGCGGTATAAAAATATCTGACATACACGGTTTAAGGGGCCAAGTGGGCCCCATTCCCGGTTTTTGCTTACAAAACTTTTATTCATTCCAGCATGTTGTGACAGGAGTGTTGCAAAAAATCCGACTTGCCTACCTGCTGTTTCATGTTGTATGAGAATTTTGACTCTAATTTAATAATGACCCAGTCATGCTTTTCTCATATTATGACCCAGCAAGCTTTGCGGGTCCATCTGTACATCGGTTGAATTGAGGAATGTAATGGGAACATTTGTATAAGAACATACCTATCTATGTTATCCCCTAGATTATATTCTTTATGTTCATGCTTTATTCTGCCGTTGATAACTGTAAACTGGAAAGAAATTGCTCTTCCGCAGAGTATCACTTAAAACTGTTAATTTTTATACTAATTAACAAGCACGGCGCAAGCTAGGATAGCGTGGCAATTATAGAGAGTTCACTCTTCCAGCTGTTTCAGCATATGGGAAAAGCTGAACCTCCCCCCTTCCTTCAAAAAAAAAAAAAAAAAATGAAGGAGGAAGTAGGGGTTAGGTCACCCGCTAACAGCATTGCCAGTACATAAGTAGAAGTGTATTCTGAGTCCTGCAATGCATTGACCTTGCCTTTGCAATTAGACAAGCTAAATAAGATGCACTACTGTTGTCAAATAATTGCTTATCGTGGATCACAGCTTACGATAACCGTTGCATAGTGGGGGCCTCTTTGCAACCCCACAAACGAAATTTGTGCAAAAATCGTTTAACAATAATAACTTTTGCTGACTAGTCACATCATTATTTTTAGGATGATGAGTCTTATTTAATATTTCATATTTAATTTTTATCCCTAAGGCCATAACATTTAATGCAGGCAACAATTTGCCACATTGTTATTATTGTTAAAATTATTAGGATGGTGAGTTTATATAATAAAAGCGGCCTTGTTTGGCCAAATCACGAACACCCGATAGTCTTTGTTGCCTTCTCTTTTGTTATGGACGGGACTATGCAAGTTTGTGGTGCACTGGGATGGAGGAGACATAAAGATAATTATAGATAAATCGATTACAAGTCAAATGTATAGCTTTTTAGTCTACCGGCAAACCAGCATAAATTTACTTTAGCTTGTTACCATACGAAATGCCAGTATTTACAAAAGTTGTGTTTAACCGTCCTTCTTTATAATATTCTCAATGGCAGAAACTTACTGGTGTCACCAGACCGCTGGAGTTAGTTGTGAAAATAGGATCGTCGAGTTTTGGGCTGATAATAATTTACTTGGCTGCATCTTTTCTAAAACTGGGTGAATATATATAAAGAGAACAAAATGCGGCATGCACTTCTGCAGGAATTCAATTCTGTTACTTTCTCACAGGCCTACTACAAAATGTATCTTACCTTACTCAAAGAGGGTAAGTTATTGATTTATTGCTTAATATATGACGTTAACTTAAACTGATATGACATTTTAAACTGTTGTGAGAGAACATAGTGACAAACTATGACTCGACAAGATAAGATTTTGGTACCCTGTATGTGGTTCTTTTATTCATATTTTGCATTGCATTCATACATATTTCCAGAAAGATGAAAACTATCATTTAGACAAGTTAAACTACCGAAAAACATTTGTAATTTTATGAAGATATTCAAAGATACGGGAACTACCTTATACTCCGTGTGTGTGTGTGTGTGTTTTTTCTAATATCATATTTTTTAAGGCCACATGTCACATAACTGACCTCTTAATTTATTTCAAAACACCACGAAACATTGGGTTTCAGAAACTCTTTTCTCTTTTTGATGGAGAATCATCATTGCAGTCAACTGTAAATATTCACTTTATAAAGTAGAAATAGCCGGTTAAAATGACTCACCGGCACAAGCACGACTTGCCAACAAT